TTTTTGGCACCCCGGAATTCCACATTTAATTGAAGCAACAGTATTTTTTTCTCAGTGTGCGTAATAGCATCAATGTTAAATTGATTATCAATTTAACGATGTAATATTACATTTCCAGCTTCATAAAACCGTTTCAGGACCGAATAGTAATCGACGCGTGGTTTAAAAGCATAACAATAAAATGTATAAATTAAAAAAAAATTATTATTAGGTAAAATCGTCCAGTGATCGAAAATGTCAATATTGATTGTCAATTGTCATTTACAATATTTCGATGGAGGGAATAGTTTGAGAGGCGCGTCTGCGGAACGACAACGACGAGGAAAAGATTCAATAAATCTACTTATATGCTTTCAAGAAAGGATTTTAGAGACGCGGGACACACGTGCGGCATCGTCGTAAACACAATGCTGTTTTACGACGGGCGATATTGTAAGTATATACGCATTTTTCATGACGCGTGCCGCATTTCGGCTCGCATCTTATCGCGTTTACTCACAACGCGCCGTACGTGTCAAGGCTCTCGCGGCGATCCTTATTTACGCATCTGTAACTTTAATGTCAATTTATGCGCCGCTATTACATGCGGCAATTACGTGATCCGTACGTTGCGTCGCGTCAAACGGACGCTTATCGTGCGCCAATTTTTTAAATAATCCAATATTTGCGCGTGCAATATATCGGATAAATGCAATTTACCGTTCTATTACGTTACCGGATATTTGCGCGGAATAAATATCTGCCGTGCGGCCCCCGGAATATTATACGTGACGCGCTATTTTTTAATGGCCCCTCTGTACAAACGCGCGAATCGCTTAACGTGCGCTTAACGTGTTAATAATTTAACGCATAACATAACAAAAATATCAGGATAATACGTATTATTTCGAAACAAATATCATCGAAATACTTTGTTTAGAACATTTCTTTCATTCACACGTTCGAGAACGTAACGCAACAACAAATATTTTGCACAAGACAGTTTTATGTTTTATCATTTTTCTCATCGGCCGATGCTAAAATCATTAGTTATAAAGGTGGACGGTAGATGGCGATGAGACGCTATTCGGCTCGCCCGAAGAATCCGTAGAGGATTTCGCGTAATAAAACAAGACGCGCATCGATATAATGGAGAGATAAATTCCACGAAAGGCTGATAAACGGTTATTCAAAATACAGGAGAAACGCTCAATGATAATAAGCCGCAACGTTTATTTACGGACTTTTGTCGCTATTATTATTTAAACAAATGCCGTTTTTCTTTTCTTTTATTACACGATGCTTCTAATTACAATGTAGCTATTTTTTACGTTGATATTCCGCGATAAAATTAAATATGTGTCACCGAGGCAAGCGCGTCCCGGATAAATTTTGAAATACTTCTCGGTTGCGAGCGTATTGTCTATACGTTTGTGTGCGTGCGTGTATATGTGTGTCCCATCTCTTTTTCGAGCCTTGTACTCCCGTGGAATTATGCGAGAATGACTTTGGCAGAGCTCCAATGCGCCGCAGAATGCGCGGGGACAACATATATACGGAGCAACGAACTTTAGTCGGCGTGACTTCGGGCGTGGATTCTTTTTGTTTCGACGAGAACTTTTCAGCCGGGAAACCTGATGTAGACGTTTTCTTTAGCGGCAATAGAACGAAACTTTCGTTCCGTACACGCCGTTCGTCCCTACGCGACGCGATAATTGCGGAGTCCTCATACGAGGGTGGAGATGAATATACATATATCGAGAGACTCTTTGAAAAATGAAGCTTATACGCTAATTGCAAGTACATCGGAAATCGAATCTCACGATAAACACATTCTTTCAAATTTATTTCAAATTCAAACATTATTCAGTCGTGGAGGAATAAATTCGGTCTCTCTCTTTCTCTCCCTCAGATCTCTCATTTCTATTACAGGAGAAAAACATTATTGCGGTAATAATATTATGTCGCAACACAAGCGACGTGCAGGAATGAAAACATAAAATCGCAGAGGGAAAATAGAGATAAGAGAGAAATATTATCATTTAATAAAAGCGCTTCCGAAAACATCAACATATTTAGCGTACCAACGCGACGCGTAATACGCGGTTTGTAATCCGGTTTTTTGCCCTAATTTTTTGCCTCGTTATATTTTTACGAGGCTCAGCGCGGATGCTTATCGGTGTTATCATACCGTAATTAATGCGATCATTATCGCATCCGCGCTGGCTAGATTAAAAGCTGCGCGCACACCCTACACCGCGAACGCGCACACGCCGCACACCGCGCGGAAACAGCTTATAGCGTTTCAGGTGCGGTGATTAAAAATTACAGCTGGCGCGCACGGCGGTGGAAAAGAAGGAAAGAAAAGGCAAAAACGCGAATGCCTAGACCGAATCTATGCGCGTCGTAATTTTTAATTATTATTCCGCGACGATCGCGCGCGGTTTTATGTAAACCGCGCGCGACCGCCGCGTCCGCGTCGCTACCTTCGCGCCAGCTCTCGCTACGTACGCTTAATTAATTGAACACAACGTAATTACGGGGGAACGGCGCGGCACGGCGCGAACCGGCCGGGACAGCCAACCATTTTTAATTAATATACGGCGAGAGGCACGATTACGAGTTTCTCGTTAACGCCCTTTACGACGCCGGCGACGCCGACGCCGACGCCGACGCCCCGTGCATTTACCCGCGGAATATTATGCCGCCGCGCCGGTAGCGGCAAACATTTTCTGGTCGAACACTCGTCGTAAGACGGGGGGGGAGAGGGAGAAAGAGAGAGAGAGAGGTAATTACGATTCCTATTACGCTAAAGCCGATACCGGTAACGCACGACCCTATTCAACCCTCGGCCGCTCCCCCACCCCTCCCCGGAGGATCCGGAGTCGCCGGCGAAATAATCTCCGCGAAATAATCCTCGGGAGACCCGCCCGGTCCGACGCAATTTCGCGCGAATATGAATAAGAATCACGACTCACGCGTGACTCGGCGTCGGGGAGGGGCGGGGGGGGGTGGCCTCTCTCCGTTGCGGCGAAGTTAGGGCGCTGCCGGGTGGAGCAGGGTAGACAGGCAGGCAGGCAGGCAGGTTAGGGTTGGCGTCGGGAAGAACCGTGGTGGAGGTTTGGGGTTAGAGCGGCGGCGGCGGCGGCGACGGTGACATGGTGGTGGGAACGGCGGCGATGGTGGTGGCGAGAATGACCGACTGCGCTGACTGCGCAGACCCCGAAGTCTCGCAGCCGCGAGTACGCACGAGTACGTAGTCAAACTTCGGCTCAGTAAGGACTGTGGTTCCCCCGTTCGCAGTGCAGTTCGAAATCTCCGGGAGCGAACCGCGTTCTTTCGTTTTTTCTCTCTCCTTTCCTCTTTCTCTCTTTCTCTCTGTCCCTCCCTTTTTCCCTTCCCCTCTCTCTCTCTCTCACTCCGTCTCTAAGATCTAATCCCGATTTCGTCTCTACCTTCGTTTTTCCGTCATCGGTCATCTTCGTTTATCGTCTCCCTCTCCACGCTTGTCGCCTCCGCGTTCCCTTCACCCGCCGAGGCGCCTCCTTAACTTTTTTCTTCCTCCGCGGTTTGTCCTCTGTCGTCCACGCAACGTATACGCGCGCGACCGGAACCCGGAACCGTTCGCGTCTCGCGATTGATGGGACACGGGCGAAACGCGCTGGCGATACCGGCGATAGTGCAGGCGGATCACGTCATTCACGTCCCGCCGATCCGAGCAGGTGCCTTCATGGCGAGTCACGTGGATCGGCGGCGATCCGGCGATTCGGGAGAGTCTCGTTAGTCCCGGTCCGGGCTGCACGGCGCGCCGCGGTGCGCGCGTGTGTGCCGCCGTCTGATCGTCGGCGGATGTCTACCACTGGACCGACTGGACAGGCTGCTCATCGGTGTCCGCGGGTCGCGGGGTGACCGGAGTACGGCGCGGCGGAGAAGCACGGAGTACATACGCGGTGGCGATCCGCGGTGGTGCGGGTCGATGTGCACAGGTCCGAGGAGACGCACCGACACTTGGCCTCGCTCGGTGTAAGTACCACCCACACTCTATGCTCGTTCCACCCGCTCTAACCCTCGAAACCGCCCCCCTAAAACACACGACACGAGCCCGCCGCGCGCCGGTTCCCGGTTCCCGACCGTGAGTCACAGCACAGCACATCACCACGCGCGCCCGCCGCCCCGTGCGATAAGTCAGCTGGAAGCGTGCGGAGTGCGGTGTGCGATGCTTGCCGAAGCGGGGGCTCTTGGTTCACGGGATTTCTCGGGTCAGCTGTTTACCGGTTGTGCGCCTCGGCGCACGCCGCTATCGCGGGACGTATCGCGTCCGGTAGACTGATTAAATATGCATTCTCTTTGGTGCGCGTACTGCGCGTTGCCCTTAAAATAGGGCTTCATCGACTCGGCGTTAAATCGCCCTCCGTGTTTATACACGGTGCTCTTTTATATAGACCTCCGAGCTGCGAGCTTGATTTACGGAGGAGCCCTGACTTGCCTTACAAATTTACGAAACGTGCGATGAAATAAATCTTTCATTAAACGCGCACGGCGGGAGCCGCGAGTGACTTTTAGAGCCATCACGCGCACTCTTATTCTCCAAAGCCACTTAGCTTTTTCTTTTAAGCTGTTTCTATTAAATTCTCCCGCGCGACTCCGTCGTTCGCGTCGGGCACGCATTTAGAACGATGAAATCAAATTGAAAATATTGAGTCTTCAGAGTTGCTATTTTTACTAATTGATGATACCGCTCAAAATACGCTTTATATTATATGTCTCTTCTCGAATAACTATTACTGTACCATTATCGAATTTGAAACAGTCTAGCATACTAAATAACACACTTTGCTACTTAATAATTTCAATGCCGAGCTCATCTGCTGCGTTCTTACTAATATAATACTGTTACGCGGAAGCGGCGGGATTTTCTCTCTATTTTACAAATGTACGCGCAAGATATTACGAACACTTCTTGAAAGAAGCGCGGCGGAAAGGGGAGCTTGCCGCAAAGCGAGATACAGCGGAGAAGGCTCATCCGCAAAAGTCGATAACAAGCACGTAATCGTAGAATCGCGATTCCGAGACTCGTTAAACAAATTAAATCTCCCACGTCTCAGCTAGTAAATATATTACGGTGCTTTCTTACGCCCGCTGGCGCTTTGGCATCATAATTAATTATCCGATACCGCGGATATCCCTAATCCCCAACGAGTTCGAGCTGCCGAGGCCGAATGAGCTTGTAATGAAATGCACCCCTCTGGGCCTCTCGTTTCCAGCGGACGCTGTTGTTTTTCCAGCCAGCCGATGCGATGGGAGAAGTGTGGCCCCCGAAATATTCTCCAAGTTTAATAACCGCCGGCTTATATATCGCGCGGATATTAAGTACGCGTTAGCACGTACGTCTCCCGACGGTATTAAATTTTGACGTTCCTTCGGAGGCGGGGAGTTACTTTTCCTCTTCTCGAGGGGTCGTTTAATGACTCGGAGTTTGCAAAGGAGAATTACGGCGGTTAATACATCGTAATTACTTCCACATGCCTACGCGCGAGAAGCGGCCCGCCCGCCCGCGCCCAAGCGACTCATCCGATCCGTTCGGATATTTCACTTCGCCGGGGATATCTCGACGTTTAATAACGCGTGTAGTCGTGTACTCGCGCCGACGAACTTTTGTGTGTATATTTGGAAACTTATTCAGTTTCATAACGGATGATTTGTCGCGGTCGTAAAACCGTATCGCCGCTCGCGGTGATTTGTGATCTCGCTCAAGAAATCTATACAATGCTCTACACAGTGTTCGAGTGTTAATATCTCGTGCCACATAAATTGTAGATCGCATATGTTACGCACAAATACGTTTATAAAATGTAGCACAATTTTTCAGAGTTCGAGTTATGTGGAGATTTTGTTCGTAAAATATTATTCATACGCGAATGTATTATAACGATGTAAGACCAGCGATATTTGAATATTAAAACAAATCTTAAATCAACTGAACAGTTTCTTTTCCGTTTTATTTAGAGAACAAATTTGTTAGTCGAGCCAGGAAATTCCAAGTCGAATATACAGAGAACATACTTGTGTCACGGACATTTTATGATCTATTTTAAATATTCCTTATAACACACACACATTGCCGACAACCCTCGCGTGTCGCGCCGCGATCTATCAAAAATCAATTTAAACGTTTTAGATCGCATTCCCGGGGATACGAAACTTTTTATCTGTTATAACAGTCGCCGTAGCGTGATTAATCGACCCATCCGTACTACTATTAAATGGGATGCGGATAATTAATCGTCGGTTTCGCCACAACACCTGCTTGCCTAGCGTGGGAACATCTGAACCGCGTTAGACGCGCGGCGCGGCGGCTCCGCGCAAAAACGGCGGGCATGCCGATCCGGGATCCGTGTGCCGGTTACGGCGCGAGTCATTAAGTAAACTGTAAATCTTGCTTATACTTGGCGCTACGCGCCGGGCTTACGTCAAATCCAATCGTAAATTCTGCGATATGCACGAGAGATATTAAACCCATACGCACTCTCGCATTCCTCTCCCTCTTCGAACGTTCTCCCATTTCGTGCCTTTCCAGCGTAACAATAACCGCGCCAAGTGCCATGGCGAGAGCTTCGCTCTCCAATAATAAAGCGGCCCATAAAGCTCACCGGGCGTAAATGACGCGGGAATTACAGATAGTATTTACATCGTCTCGCCCGTAGAGGAGTGCCGCAGAGCTCGGCCAGTGTTCCCCGCTCTCGAGCTCGTAATACGACACGTTCGTCAATCCATTCGTGCGCACACGCCTACGCGAGTAGGCGACGGGAAAGAGGAAGAAATGGAGAAAGAAAGAAAGAGAGAGAGAGAGTGCGCCGGTAATAAACGAAGCCGTAAAAAGCTCGACACGGCAACTACGCGCACGCATATGTAATCGACGTCGCCGTCAGGCGTTAGGAGACTTTTAGGACGCGGGTCGTCCTAAAAGAAATTTTAATAAGCCACAAAGCGATCGGGTAGAGATCCACAGCAGGCGGCACCCAGCTTCAGCAACGGCGGCGGCGGTGGCGGCGACGGCGGTAACCAGTCCGCCCTCCCGGTCGCCCTCCAGTCAACTTCCAGCGGTCGTGATAAATCAGGACGCACCTGGCGTCCCTCGCTGCACACACGCCAGGTCCGATGCATTCGCCCGTCGCGTACTCGCTGGATTACCCTCCCTCTCTCCCCGACGCGACCCGACGCTCGGAGAAAAGCGTATTCTACGGAGCGGTCGAATTAAGAGCCGCGGGAGCGTAAGGGGCGCGCGCGAAGAACGGATGGAAAAGGCGAAGGCTATAAATACGAGGAGAGGCCAGGAGAGCTAGGGCGCACGGGCGAAAAGACACGGAGGCGGAGAGAGAACTGTCCTCGGCACAATGCGTGTGCCGCACCAATCCTATTTTCAGAGATACCCATCTCTCACGGTTTCAGCGGCGGCAGGGTGAGACGACGGTATAGCCGGGTAACCGCTTTATCCCTACGGTCGAATCGCTCCTTCGAGGTTGGGCTCGCTCGCAGCTGTGTTTCGTCGCTTCTTTAAAGTCCATCCTTCCCTCGCCTCCGTCGTCGCGTCGCCTCGATTCTCTATCCGAAAAAACATCGGAAATGCAAAGCGCTTCCACCCCGGCGCGGCGCGATGGTAACCGTCGAGAGTCGCGAGGGGTAGATCGCCCGATGCCGGAGAGTGCGTTTTCCATTTCGCTCGTAAAACGTCTGCGGCGACTTATCGAATCTGTATTACCTCTCATGCACGCCACTCGCACGCGGAGAAGTGTTTCGATAGAGCCTTCTTCCCGCCCGCCTCGCCCGCGCCCCGGAAAAGCGATATTTTTTAACACGCCGATCGATGAGGAAATACAGGGGCACCGAACTTTCGCGAATGTCGTTTACACCCTTGTAACGTATACATCGTGCGACGAAAGAAGTGAATTTCTTCGTCGCGCTGTTGATAAAAAATGCCAGTCGGGATTGAAGTCGACACGGTCGCGACAATATTTATTTGTCAAATGAGATAATTTGTAACGTATTTCCGTCCGCGCACGTGTCTCGCGCTGCCAGTTATTGTTCCGGGATAATTATTATTCCAGTGACGATAGAGGATGTGATTTGAGATGAAGATTAAGGGTGTCCTCTGGGTGGACTAACTCATTTAGCCGGCTGGCACAAAGGACAGCGTCACTTAGACGTCATACAAAGAGCATTTTGGCTCCCCCTGCGGAGTGCCAGAGATAGCGGATTGTAATAATAGTGCTTTCCAGACTAACAAGACGAAAATTAGATTCAATCTTCGATTCTTGAGATCTAGGTCCCCTCCGCGTTTATTTCTTTATTATTAGCGCGTACCGAAACGATCATTCGTCATGGATTCTGAATTATCAACGTTATATTGTTGCGGGAGCGACGTGACGTGCCACTTACGGAGCATGACAGATTTCCCGGTAGCCACTTATCTCTGGTTACGAAGTAGTTCGCCCGCGCTCGCGGACGACGGTGCACACTTAGCCGGTGAAACGAGGTGATTTATAGCGAAACTTGCCGTATAAAACGTACACATGCGTTAAACGTCCGGGGTGTCTCGCACCGTTACTTCCCACAGATACACATCCCCCTTGCGGCTTAAATTTTGCGGAATCGAGAGAGAGAGAGAGAGGTAGGAGAGAAAGAGAGAAAGGGGGGAAGGGGCTCCTCTCCCGGTGAACTTGTACCTTGCACTTCAGTTTTATGCGCGGCGCTCTGTGAAGGGCGGATATCGTGTTTGCTCTTGTAGCCGGTATTGTTTGCCGGCCGCCTTTGTTTACGGCTCTCTCGTTCCTCGTTCCACCCTTTTTGGGTGGTAGGTCACGGTTCAGGGAGCTCACTTGAGGAGGATTTCTTTTGTCTCGGCCGTCCGTCGCAATAATCGAGTGAAACCACGGCGAACGAATTGCGGCACGCACTTGGCGCGCTGGCGCTGGAACAATATGATTACTTACCGGCGCGGACATCATTGGCGAGATTGGAGAAAG